CCTCAGCTCCTGCTCTGGGAATCTCTCCTCCGCTTTCTTAACCTACTGCTTCATCTCCGGCATCAGCGTCTCCGTCTTCAGCTTCACCTGACCAAAGAGCACGAGCAGTGGCTCCAGGAGGCACTGCAAGCTCTCAGCGGAGCCCGCGTCGTCCAGTTTGGTGGCCTGCTTGAAGCACTCGATGGCGAGTGTCTCCTGGCTTTTAAGCCCTAGGCGTTTGCTCATGAAGAGCTGCAGTTCGGGGATGGTATTGCCCAGGTCACTGGGCTCCATGGCTTTGTCCTGGAATGCCAAGGTGCTGTTCAGTGCCATTTCATCCATCAGGAACTGTTCTTACATGATGTCCATGCTCATGTAATAGTAAAAAATAGTAAATAGAGAGTGGAGCAGGACAAAATGGGGCTGTTAGGAGAAAAGAGAGACCAATGGCTGCCTCCAAGGATGACATTCCCCGTTGGGCTCTGGGGAGAGGAGTAATGGAGCATGGCTGACCTGCTCTCAGCGCCATGTCGATAGTGTTCATATAGTGTACAGGGCTGGAGTTGTGCTCCCATGCTTGTGTCTAACATCTCCCACTGCTTGGCTCCAGGCGGCTCTTCACTCCTGTAAGCTCTCTCAATCCTTCCCAGCTAAGGGAACCGTAGCAATCCCTCCGTTCCCTGTTCCTGCCCTGTTCCTGCCCTCAGCCCTGCTGCACCTCACCATTTCCCTCGCACCTGGCTGAGACTGAGCCCAACAGGAGGTAGAGGCAGCCAAGGGCCAGTCCCCTCAGTCTTTGTGGTCTAACTTTAGGGCTCAGAGTTAATGAAAAACCTGGGGACACTGCAAGGAGCTCCCTGGGATCTCAGGGGTTTGATGTGCCCATCCTCACCTGACCCATGCCTGGCACAAACAAACCTTGAGGACTCTTTCGAGGTCGTTTTTAGCATGCATGAGTTTCTTCTGTCGGGCACTGGGCTCTGTCACATCTTGATGTGTTCCAAGATCTTGTAGATACATCTTCATGTGGACCCGGAGACCAGAGGAAACTCATCAGCTTAGTCCCCAGTTGCAGGATGGATGACGAAATGATACGAATACAAACCACTAGCACGCATCAGGTCAGCAACTTGGCCATGCCAAGCTACACCACAGAGCCAGGCCAGCTTGCCCAGCCCAGGCATTGCAATCTCCAAAGCGTGACCTCGTGGTTAGCAGTGCTGGGAAAGGCGGGGCAAGCCCCTGAGCCAATGCTCGTCCTGTTGACCTTGGCTGTAAATTTGGTTCCTGGTGATCATGGGGTCCTTGAAAGCAACCAGCCCATCCGCTCCCCCTTCCAGGCTCAGAGATGGGGGCAGCGTGCCCTAACGTGTTCAGAGGTTGAACCGTTTGGCCGTAGGAATGTGCTTGAAGAAGGGCTGAAAAATCAAAAGCCTTTTCCTTATGTCATTTCAGCTTTCTCCAGTCAAACCTGGCAGACAGACAGCACCCGGCGCCCAGGGACCACCTCCACACTGCACTTTTCAGCCTCCTCCCTCTAGCTTGAAGTTAAACATCTCTGAAGAGCAGTTGTAGGCACATATTAAAGTACTCCACTAGAGGAGGAGATTTCATTTCTCTGAGCCTCATTTTATGGGGAGTTAAATAATCCCGTTTAAATACAAGGAAGTAAGAATGAGTCCTTATTTTATTTAAAAATGGGATAAAAAAGAAATCTTCATGATTCTTCTATAGTGGGAAATACTAATGTGCACTCGTGTTTACAGGAGGCTGGAAATGGGCAAAATCAAGGGATTAAAGAGCACGTTTTTTATGCTCCTGAGTGATTTAGGATCATTAAATCATTGAGTCAGTTCTGTGCAGTGACTCAGCATCCTGTAAATCATTGCCCAGAGAGACCTGGGGCAATCTTTCCGCAGCTCAGTGCCAGAGCCAGGATCTGGCCCAGATTTCCTGGCAGCCACGTAGCAACCTTCACTCCCAGACCAGCGTTCACCGATTTCGTCAGGTAATTACATCTCCCTACATGTTTTGCACCACAGCTAAACAAGCAATACCAAAGCCGTCTGAGAGAAGCGCTGTGGCTGTCCTGGCGGCTGGAGGAGCAGGACCTGCCCACCCCTCGGACACCCAGCACCCACTCTGTGGCCCCAATTTTTTTTGCCCCCCTGCCAGTTGAGCTGCAGGTCCTGCAGTACCTCCAGTGCCACACTGCATGTCCCTTTGCCCAGCTCCTGCTTGCCCAGGCAGTGGTAGGCTTCTGCCAGGCGGTTCAGGACGGGAGGGTTGTCTTTCACCGTTTCTGTCGCAGAAGTGAAACACGTTTCCGTCAGGGACTTATTGCCTGCTGTGCTGATCAAAGGGACAAAAACATCTTGGATTGATTCACCGGGGCGGTGTTTTAACCAGGAGGGTCTGAGGCTATTCAAGAGACGTGGTCTGTGGGCAAAGCTGATATTAAACTGACGGACAGGACTGAATGCAGGGCGAAGCTCGGGGGTTATGTGCCTGAAAGCATGTCTATGCTCCTTATTTTTTCCAGCTGTGCTGGGGGAATCTAATAAAGGCACTGCTGTCCCTGCAGCCTTTCACCGAACTGCTCGCCTGCTGCTTTGCCAGGGGCTGATTTATGCCGCTGCGGCCAAATATGTGCCCTGAGAGGCGAATGCTCTGTACATGGTAGGTCCAAGGGTATCATCTCCCATCTGGGGCCTCCCCTCTTCACCCCAGGGGCTTTCCAGGAGGAAAAGCACTGAGGACGGGAGGAAGGTGAACGAAGGACCAGGATTGGTCCCTGGTGCAGCAGCGCTGGGTATAGCACCTTTCCAAAGCAAACGAGGGGGTCGGTCTTGGAGAAGCCACAGTCCTGGATCCCCTTTGAGGGGATTTCAGTTTGGACTTGGGGTGTTGACACAGAGAGGTGGCACATCCCGACCCACCCCGGACAGGCTCTTGTATATACACAGCTTGTAGGGTCTGTGAGCCCGCAGTGCTGGCTTTCACACCTGGCTGACCAACTTTCCTGGGTACTTTCATTCCCTCCTGTGACATTACTGTAACTGCATGGCTGCGGCACAATGTTTTTATGTCCAGCAAAGTAGTTGCAGGGCTTGTCTTAGGTTGGCTCCTGGGGAAGTTACTGGGGGGATATAAAATTACCAGAAACCCCCTGCACTTTGGCAGTTACCCAAGGTGCAGGCATTCCCAGGTTACCCTTGGGTGCTCTCAGACAGCTCCTCCTGAGCAGACAACACTTTTGAAAATAAATAACACTGATAAAAATGTAGTAATTAAATCAATCAGAAGAATGCATATCATCATCTGAGGTTCAGGGCTACCTTGGATATAGCACGGAGGAGTGGGATGTGGAGCAGCAGATCCCCATGTCCATCTCCCCTAATCACCCCTCTTCATCCGGCTGCAGAGCCGGCACTGCTGACGGCAGTGCTTCAGCTCAGGGGGAAGCATCAGCTGGGCCAGAGCAGAGAAGCACTCCCTGCTTAGTCACCTGCCCCATTTCCAGTTCAAGGAGATAAGGAAGAGGCACAAACTCCAGGTAAGAGCTGGGTTTCATCTGCTGGGGGTAAGAGGTGCAGGCAGCGCTGCCCAGCCCCATCCTTGCCCTCCCCACTCTCCTCCCGCAGGAGGAAAGGCTGGGCCCAGGAATGTACAACATCAGGGACTTTCTGCAGGATACACGGCCCTCCAGCCTCTGGGGGATCTGTGACACAAGGGAGCAGCG